GTTTCCAATTATGATAAAAAAATGTCAAAAAACCAAAAAATTAAGAATTTCATTGATAAATCTAGAAAACCCGGAAAAAGGGAAATTTTGATATTTAATAATGTTTCAGATCTTTGAGAAATTCTCCGCGAAATTTGATTTTTATTGATAAGTACAGATGCTTGGCTTGGAAAATTTAAAAAAAAAACCGCAGAGAATATGAAAACCTTAAATTTTGAAAAGAAACAATTAAAAAAGAATTTTAATTCGTTTTTAAAAAATTCTACAAAAATTCCCATTTTAGGAAGCCTTGAAAAAAATTGTGAATTTCTAAAAAAATGATAACACTCAGTTTGTTAGATATTTGAGATATCAAAAAGTAGTAAACTAATGAAATATTTATCATATTATCAGTTGACCAAATTCTGGTATCTCTTAGAGTGACCGAGATAAATAGGGTCAACGTTAGGAGTGCCTTCTATTCCAGGTATAACTTCCTCATACTTGATAAAGAACCTTTGAACCAAAAAAAACAACAAGAAGCACAGAAAATAGAGCTCACTGGAGTCCCAGGAACCCTGTGCCTTTTTCCGGTTTCCACTCTAATTTATTCATTGCGAAAATTGTGTACACCCATTGCTCAGCCCCCGACCCCTTTTCCCCTATGTCTCTATTTTCTCCAATTTTACCTGGGTCCCCCATTTGAACACTCTCCTCACATGACATTCTTCCTTTTCTGTGAAAAAAAGAAGGGGAGAATGGCAACAAATTTCAAAGAAAGTAGTAGTAGGCGGAAAAGAATAAGACGAAGGGGACCAATAAGAAATTTCAGGGACGTTTTTTGAAAAAAAAAACATTTCAGAGCACGGCTGCGATTGAGATCATTAAAAAATTTTTGGGAAATTAGCAAAGTTTGTGGAACTGCAAAAACAATTTTTAACAATAAATGAATTTTTCGAACTGGAGTGTGTACAGATAATAGGAGAGAAGTGGGCGGGGCTTAGCACACCTGGCTAATCCTGCCCCTTTTTCACACAGAACCAAGTCACATGTGAGGATAATATAGACAACAAAAACAGGTGACAACTGAACTCGCAGTTCAGATTATTGGCCAATTGACCAGAGGGGTCAGAAAAGAACGTCTACCACACCGTACACTTTGAGCTCAAATATCTCATTTTCTGTGAAAGATATCAAAAAGTGGTCAACTAACAAAATGTTTATCATGTTATCAGTAAAATTTTATCAGTTGATCACGTTTTGATATCTTTTACAGGAACCGAGGTATATAGCATCTGAGTTGAAGGATAATTCTATTTGATTGTTTAAGGCATATTCCCTCAAGAACCTCCTTTTCATCATTATGCAGTTGAATAGAACAGTTGAAAATTGCGAAAGGTTGAACATTGTTTTCGAAAAGCTGAAGTTCGAGATTACATGGCTTTATTTGACCCATTTCATTTAATTCTCAACCTTCCCAACATTTTCACTGCATCATTTTTATCAACCCCATTATTCCCATAAAATTTTATTATGATAACATTTTGAAACATCAATTTTCGTATTATTTGGTTCTTTCCAAAAAACCAATGGAAACTTATGAAAAACAAGACTAACGATAAGTAAAAACCCTTCGGAACAGAAATTGTAAGAAAAACCATACATATAGTGTGCTACTTCGGTAAACACTTTAAAAGAATGCCCCCAACCGTCCACTTTAAAGCCGTATATCTCGTTTTCTGTGAAAGATATCAAAATATGGTTAACTGACAAAATGTTCATCATAATATCACACACATGTTGTTAGTTAACCCCTTTTTGATATATTTTACAGAAAATGAGATATATGGGCTTAAAATGGAAAGTAATCAATATATATTTTGAAATTTAAAATTCAAGCATCATTTAAACGATAGGAAAATTATTTAAAAAATCCGCGTGGTGGAAAACAAGTTTTTTAATTTCGATGAAAATTTTAAAATTCCAGACCAAAAGAACTACGTGAATTGGTTTAGAAACCGATAACCCCTTGGCATCAGGGAGAACTCTATAAACTTTATAAAGGAAGAGGGATGTGGAGGGAAGAATCAGTTCTCTTTCTCTGGAATCCGGAATCCGAGATGCGGAATCCAGGGTACGGCGTCCGGAATTCCGGATCCCGAGATCCGGTCCTTGGATTCCGGAACCTTTATTCCGAACCCGGAATTCTGGACCCCGGATTCCGGACCCGGAATTCTGGACCCGGAATTCTAGACCCTGGATTCCGGACCAGAGTTGCACGGACAGGGAAATTTTTTTTATACGGACAACGGACACGGACAACGGACAGCCAAAAATGTCCGGACAATGAACAACGGACACCAGACACCGGACAAAATTTTCCAAAATCGACAATTTTTTGCTGAAAAAATAGGATTTACCAATGGAAAATAGCCATGGAAAAGAACATCGGAGCTCATCCACCATTTTTACTGTTTTTTTAACGAAAAATTTGAATTTAAATTTTTCTGGTAAACGGACGGACAACGGACACCGGACACCGGACAGAAATTTTTTTCACGGACAGCGGACACGGACAACGGACAGCCGAAATGGCCGGACAACGGACAGCGGAAAGCGGACAACGGACTGTCCGTGCAACACTGTTCCGGACCCCGGAATTCTAGACCCCGGGGACCCGAAACTTCTAAGGTCCGGATTCCGGACTCAGGATCCCGGATCACGGATTCCGGACCAAAGATTCAGGACCCCGAATTCAAAACCCCGGAGTCTGGACCCCGGATTTCGGAACCCGGATTCTAGACCCCGGATGATCCCGGATTCCGGTCCCCGAATTCAGGAACCATGCCTCCGGATCCCTTCTCCGGCCCCCCTCTCTGGATTCTTCTCTCCACTTTCCTCTTCCTTTATAGTAATTTCCTTGAGTTCAATGGGTCATCCATCGTCGTGGGTCTAAAACTATTCACGAAGTTCTTACGCTCTAGTTTTGAAATTTTTTTCCAAGCATTTTTTGCCACGCAAATTTCTTTTATAATTTTTTCTCGTGTAAATGATATTCGAATTGTCACTTTTCAAAATGTTTTGATTACTTTCAATTTTAAGCCCATATTTTTTTAAATTTAAATGTTTTTAGATTTAATTAAAATTGTTTTTTATTTAATTATATATTTTTTAATTTTAAACCCGTAGCCCTCTCATTGTCTATACAAGATATCAAAAGGTGGTTAACTGACACAAAGTTTTTGACATTATTATAAACATTTTACCAGTTAACCATATTTTGATATCCTTCACAGAAACTGAGGTACACGGCTTGAAAGTCGACGGTTCGGGACCATTTTATCAAAATTTTTACCGAACCTCCTGTAATACTACAGTATTTTTGGTTTTCTAACTGTCACTGTTTCAAATAGTTTTCCTTATTGTTAGTCTTATATATTTTTTTACTGTGTTCTCTATTTTTTCACCCTTACACCATTTCTCTACTGATCAAGCTTTGCAACCCCATTTTGATCACTCAACACATCATTTCTGCAATATTTTAAATTTGCTTGACTTTGGCTCCTTTTTCTGACTTTGTAGAATTTCATGTTGACCAGTATACTTCTAACTATTCATTTTGCAAGCATTCTCACTAAATATAAATCCTAGAAGTCCCAGAATTATTGATTTCAAGTTTACACTATCAAAATGTCTAATCACCTACCATAAATGCTCCCATAGCAGTCCACCCGATATATGAACTTTGAGACTAATTATCTCGGTTCTTTTGAAAGTTATCAAAAAGTGATTCACTAATAAAATGTTTATCATAATATCACAAACATTTTGTTAGTTGGCCACTTTTTGATATCTTTTGAAGGAACCGAGATAATTGAGCTCAAACTGCGCAGCCCTTCCCAAATTTTCAATCTCCCACCTCACCGCGACGCGACACGCGTCGCATCCACCTGACACATCATGTGTCCCTCCGCTTTTCCCCATTTCTACTGGGCACACAACACATTTGCCCTTCATTCCCCCTATTGCTTCGTCTCTGTCTCATTCTCTTTTAACCAGTCTCTCGTCTCGCCTCTTTCCGCGTATGCTGCGTCTATTTTCTTTATCTCTTCTCCGTTCTCTTTTTATTCGTTCCTTTTTGTTTTTTTGTGTATAACTATTCTTTATCTGCAGCTTCTTCTCCCCTTCTTCTTCGTGTTTAAAACACCGCATTTTTTTTTCCACATGCGCGGAAGAGCGCGCAAAAGAGGGAGACGCAGAGAACACCGAATTATCGATTTTTCGGTTTTCTGCACGTTTTGGGTCGTATTCGCGTTTTGTCTAAATAAAATTATAATTTTTTGGTTAATTAGGTTAATTAAAAAACGGGAAACAATTTAAATAGGTGGGTTTTTTTATTTTAAATTGGTTTTCACGGTGAAAAATAGGAAAAACTAGATTTTACAGTGGCGGTGCGTTGAAAACGTGGTCTAGAAGAATGAAAAAGCGTACTGCTAAACTAAGACGTTTAGAATAAATACGTTTCCACAGGAAAATGGGCTAATAATACGTTTTTTGGGTTTTCCAGTAGTCGGCGAGTGAAAAGTAAAATGAAAATTTAACACTAATTTTAAGGCTTTTTGAAGTATCGAAATAGTAATACTTTATATGATTCGGAAGAACTAAAAATGCCGATTCTAAAAATATATCAATAGTTAAGAATTTCCATCTTTGAGCTGAGAAAAGTTGCTGCGCAGATGTGCAGCCGCGTAGCCAGGACGTTTTGTGTTTCTAGCGCGAAAGAGCGCGCAAAAGCGGGAGACGCAGAGAACATTGAATTATCGATTTTTCGATTTTTTGCACATTTTGGGTCGTATTCGTGTTTTGTCTGAATAAAAATTTATTGTTTTTTTAGGGTTTAATAGCCGCAAAACGGGTCAAATTATCGATTTTCGGATTTTTCTTTGAGCGTTGGCTTTTTTATATCTTCGAAAATGGGTTTTAAAGATTTTTATTCGTTTAATTTTTTTAGATACCTCAAAATGGAGGACGACGATAACGACGATATCCTCTGGTGTGAAAACGATGGGACTATGATGAGTCAGGAAGCCATCCAAAATATTAGAGAAAAGCAGAGATGTGAGAGGAAATTGGAAGGTTTTGAAATGAGAAAAACTTAATTTTCAGTGAGACGATCACTGTCGATAGAATGCATTAGAGTAGTCAGCGCAGAGGAGAGCAGAAGACGTCGTGGAGCAGAGAACAATAATGGTAAGGAACTTATCATTTGAACTTTGAGACGTTTTCGAACTTTTGGGATGTTTTAGAATTTTCGGGTCTTTTCGCAAATTTGGGACGTTTAAGTACTTTTAGGAAATTTACAAGAGAGTGTCGTTCAGAAATCTCTTCAGAATTTAATCTAAATTTATTCATTTATAGGATCGAGTATGGGCTTTTACGTAATCATAGTAGCTACCTGCAAAACTCGCTGAAACTCGAGAAAAATCGATCTGAAATTATAGCATCTTCACTAAGCTCATCCCTTCCCTTTTCTTCCTCTTCCTTCACTGCATTACGTGCAAGAGAAAAACATGCATCGATAGCCTAGTGCACTAGCCTATAGGCTACCGAGGCATGTTTTTATCATGCGTGCAATGCAGTGAAGAAAGGGGAGCAAAAGGGAGGCGATTAGTGAAAATGCTATAATTTCAGATCGATTTTTCTCGAGTTTGAGCGATTTTTGCAGGTAGAGACTATTATTACGTAAAAGCCCATACTCGGTTCTATAAATGAGCCTTCTTAGAGAAAATTCTGAAGAGATTTCTGAACGACATTCCCTAGTTAGGACGTTTGAGAACTTTTTTGACTGTGTCACTTTAGAACCACGACGTTTCAGAACCGCGACATTTTAGATCCGCGACAATTTAGAATTATGCTGTTTGGGAACCATGACATTCTAAACCACGACATTTCAGAACTGAAATGTTTTTTAACCGATACGTTTTAGAACCGTGACGCTTCAGAACCGCGACCTTTGAGAACCGCGAGAACCATGACGTTTTGAAATCACGGCGTTTTGAAACTATGCTGTTTAAGAACTACCCCGTTTCAAAAATGCGACGTTCCAGAACCGCGACAATTTAGAACCATGCCGTTATAGAACTGTGACGTTTTAGAACCATGAAATTTTAGAACCGCAAATTTTTAGAACTACGACGTTTTAGAATCGCGAATTCTAAATTTTCAGCTGCACCTGAAGCTGAAGCTCCTCCACAAAATGAAGCTCCTCTAAGAGCTCCTCCAATTTATATCAATCTTGACGATGACGAAGATCTCATTGAGCTCGAGGTACAGAATGTAGCGAATCCTGAAGAAGCGGACCCAGAAGAGGTGGACCCAAATGTCGTGATCCTAGAAGTCGTGGAATTAGAAAAAGAGGAGCCAGAAGAAGTTGTCCCAGAAGACGTGGATCCAGTTGATCCAGAGGAAGCAGATCTTGAAGAAGTGGATCCTTATGAAGCAGATCCAGAAGACGTCGATCCAGGAGAAGCTGTGGACGTCCTGATGCTGGAAGAAAGACCGAGATCCAGTTCAGACATCGAGAACATTCCAGAAGCTCCAGAATCTGAGCTCGTCAGACCAGAAGGCGTCAGAAGATACAAAACGAGAAGCTTCCCAAATCCAGTGAAACGGTCCGCTCCAGAAGCACCTCAAGCTTCAGCGAAGCGTCAAAGATCGGAGGAGCCGACGACTTCAGCGAGCTCATCAGAAGCAAGTATGCGGTCGAATCGGAGATCTAGAAAGAAGATTCCAGAAGTTGTCCTAGGTGAGTTGAACAATTTTTTGTTCTAAAATCAAAAAATTCAAATTTTCCGATTTTCAGATCGGGGTGTGATCCTTCCAATCGGAACGGCTCGCGTTCCATTCCAGTTTCCTGCTGACTACATCCCACCACCTCGTCCAAAGATCAAGAATCAACCACTAACGGAGGATGATCAATGTGAAGTCGCCATCGTTCCAGACGTTCTGTCTCCAGAAGACCAAGCAGCATATATAGATGCAGATGATGATCACGAAGAAGAGCTCTGGGTACCGGAACCCGGCATGACCATTGGCGCCAGGAAGAGCATCCATTTCAACTACTGGAAGCCGATTTTCCGACAATTCGCTGGACACATCCCAATGGAGCGGGCTCTTCAGCACTTGATGCGTAAGGATTACTGTACTTCGGAAGCTCTGGACACGGTGGATCAGTGTCTGAAAACACTTCCACAGTTCTTGAAGCCATTGTGTGTTGGACAGGCGGTTAAGCTCAGCAAGCTCATCAAGGATCAGAATATGGATAGGAGAAAGATCCAGGAAAAAGTGGTGAGTTTACAAAGATGGCCTAGGATTGGGAATTTCTAGGCCACCTTCGTTTTTGACCTAGAAATAGCATGACATCCATGGCACGTGTTTTCTAGGCCATTTAGAATAGTGGCCTAACTCTTTTAAGTTGAGTTTTTATGTCACTATGGTAAATGACCTAGAAAACACACCAAATGAATATTAGGCCATTACTAGCTAAAAAAAGTTGGTGGCCTAGAAACCTCAACTTGCAAAAGTTAGGCCAGCTTAGTAAATAACCTTAAAATAGCCTGATATCCATTTGACGTGTTTTCTAGGCCATTTAGCATAGGGGTCTAACTCTTGTAAGTTGAGTTTTCTAGGCCACCAACTTTTTTGACCTAGAAATGACCTAATATTTACCAGATGTGTGTTCCTAGGTCAGCTAGCATAGTGGCCTAACTTTCGCAAACTGACTTTTCTAGGCCACTATGGTAAATGACCTAGAAAACAAACCATAGAAATATCAAGCCATTACTAGGCCAGAAAAGTTGCTGGACTAGAAAACTCAATTTGCAAAAGTTAGGGCTCTAGGAAGTACTCTAAACGAGTTAGAATCCAAAATTACATTTTTCTAGTTTCAAATGAGACATGCCCCTTTGAATACATCTTGAATGCAATATATCCTTTCCAGATGAGGAACTACCATCTTGGCGAGGTCCAGATCTACCACCACCAATTCCTCCGTCGCTTCCTCCTCCAGGCACACTGGCGAAGAGCCTGCAACTGTGACGACTTCTTAGTAGAGGAGATGGATTATGTGCAGAGGGTTGGATGCTCCAACTGTACCAAGCACATCAAGAAGTCGCCTCTGGATCCATCACGGCTTTGTCTCATATGCCAATACTATGAAAAGATCACGGGAAAACGGCGAGACGTCAAGGAGGTGGTTTTTTTCAAGGAGGAGGAAGAGATTCTGGATCGATGGGTTCTGGAGGAGAGGATTCAGAAAAGGAAGATGTCACTTGCAGAGATTTACAAGATCATGGAGACGGACACCTCAGAAAGACAGAAAAGGAAGGATCTGACGGATGAAGAAAGGAGTATGCTGTCGGAGAGTGAGCTGAAGTTAGATGGAGCAAGAATAGTGGAGCTCCTGAAGCCGTTCGAGATGCATCTTCATGGGTGTGATTGCAAGAAACGTCCACAAATCTTCCGGAAAGTATTCTCAACGAAAGAGGAGGATCAATTCCAGAAGTCACTGGTGAGACATCGTGGAGATCAGTGTAAGGCGGCTGAAGAGCTTGGAGTCCCAGTGGAGATGATGGAACGATTTGTCGAGGTGTACCCGGAGACGCATAAGATATGGACGGTGAGCAGGACGTTTTTGAACTTTTTGATAGATGTCGCAACTTTGACATTTTGCAACCGTGACGCTTCGCAACCACAATCTTTCCTAACTATAAATTTTGGCAACTATGACATTTCACAACTATGACATTTCGCAACTAGGACAATTCGTAACAACTGATCGTTTCACAACTATGATGAAATGCGTTGCAAAATGTCATGGTTGCGAAATTGCACAGTTGCGAAATGTCATAGTTGCGAAATGACATAGTTGCCAAATATGTCAATACAGGGTGGCCGATAAGTATAGGACGCTCGCGTCTCTGACGTTATCTGGACAGACGAGAAGATCTTCACTATTGAACCTCTTCCCAACCGTCAAAACCAGAGACAGTTATTGTCAAAGGATGACAGCATGTCTCCGAAACGTCGTCTTGCCCATAACCGCCTTTTCCCGAAAAGTGTCATGGTTTGGGCCGGTATCACGGCAACCGGTAAAACTCCGTTGGTTTTCATTGAAAGAAATGTGAAAATCAACTCGGAGGTGTACCAAAAGATTGTGTTGATGGATAATTTGTTACCCTGGGTCACTCAGCACTTTGCTGGTGGTCCATTTATCCTTCAACAAGACTGGGCACCGTCCCATGGCTCGAGATCGACATTGGCCGTCTTGGAGGCGCATTTCCCTGGATTCCTGGACAAGAACTTGTGGCCTGCTTCCAGCCCGGATCTCAATCCGATGGATTTCAGCGTTTGGGGCATGTTGGAAGGGAAGATCGCGGGAAAAGTTTTTGCTACTGTCGATGACTTGAAGGCCGCTCTCGAGGTAGCATGGGCTTCGATCGACGACGGATACCTGCGGCGCACTGTCAATTCGGTGAAGAAACGTTTAAGAGTCTGTGTCAAAGCTCGTGGATCCAACTTCGAATTTCTCTTGTAAAATCAAATTTTCTGCTTATTTTTTGTTGTTTAATAAAGGTTGTTCTCGAAAAATCCTCAAATTGAAAAAATGGGAGCACTTTCAAAACGTCCTATACTTATCGGCCACCCTGTATAAGTTGTCAGGTCAAAATTATCAAATTTTAAATCAAATTTTTTCAGGGAAGCCGCTCCAAGAAGTTCTTCCATTTGAGGAATCGAATCTTGGTTCCAGACCTGCCTCCTGGAATCGAAAGACTGTCAGTGTATAAGCCAGGACTCGGCGAGCCGTGGTTGCCGACGCAGGAGATGATGAGGCTAGCAGCTGAAGAACCAAGAAAGAGCCAAAAAGATGCCAAAGGGTCCGCACCTCAAAGTTCTGCTGAAACTGAGCAACCATCGAAGAGCCAGCGTGGTGTCAGACGGTCCAGGAAAACTAGATAATTGATTAATTGGCCAATTAATAGGAGATAATTTTTAGGGTTCATTTTCCTAGTTTCTCTTTTTCTAGATACTTCTTCTTTAGCTATCCTTTTTTTCTATACTTCCAGTTTATTTAATTCTCAATTTCCTGGTTTTTTATGATCTTATTTTCCCGAGTTTTCTTTTTTACATTTTTGATTTGAAGGGGTTTTTAATTCCAAATCCCGATTTTTCTGTTCCATACACAATTTTTATCTCAAACTTCTCCTTTTTCCATGATTTCTTTTTTTTTCTTCTGTTCTTGGCGTTGTAATATTATCTATATCATGTTTTTTCAAGTGTTCTTTTTGCTCCGGGTATTATAAAACTTTTAATTTTTTTTCGAATAAAAAGCAGTAATTAAAAATATGGATTTCACGAATCCAAAGCAGAAAAGTGAAAATTTTCATAAATTTAAAAGTTTTTGAAACCAGGACAATAAAAATCTGGCAAATTTCGCAACTATGACATTCCGTAACTATGCTATTTTTCATTTATGACAATCCGCATTTATGCCATTTCGCAACTATGACATTTCGCAGCTATTATGTACATTTTGTAGCTATGACATTTTGCGACTAGGAAATTTCGCAACTACGTCATTTTGCAACTATAACATTTCGGAACTATGACATTTCGCAGCTATTATGTACATTTTGCAACTATGTCATTTCGCAACTGTGTCTTTTTGCAACTATGACATTTTGCAACTATAACATTTCGGAACTATGACATTTCGCAACTATGGAAGTTTACAACTATGTAATTTCGCAACTATGTTATTTCAGAACTATGTCATTTCAGAACTATGACATTTTGCAACTATGGAAGTTTACAACTATGTCATTTCGTAACTATGACATTTCGCAACTATCTGTATTTTGCAACTGGCTTCGCAACTTAAAAAATTTTGGTTTTTTGAAATAATTTTTTTTCGGTTTCAAAATTTCGATTTTTGAGTTTCAAATCCAATTCAATTAGTACTGTCTCGTTTTTTCCATGAAAAAAATTTGAAATTTCAAAAATATAAATTTTGATCTTTTTCGATCTACCGGCGCGGGAGCGAGATTTTTAAAAAGAATTTCTCAAAATCTAATTTTTAAAAATTCAATTTTTTGATTTTTTTTTTGTTTTTTCTCTAGCTTATTTTTCAAAATTTCGGCTATTTTTTGTCTGAAAATCTCAAATTTTCCAGCCAAAAACCAATAATGCAATCTACTACTACTCTCCAATCTAACATCTACACGGATAAATGGACTTCCACCCCATGGGCCGTTTTCTACGATGGACCACTTTCTCCAGTATCCTCAACGTCTTCTTCCGAGAATTCCGAATCTCCAGAATCCTCTTCTCATCCAGAATTGCTACTCTACAGTACCCCGAACGTAAAACTACAGTACCCCGAACGCGTCGAATGGAGAACGGTGTCATTTATACGTATCGTGGGAATCAATTGATTGCGAAATCCGTCGCTAGAAAACCAAAACCGTACTACGAGCGAAAGAACAAAATAGTGTGCGGAGCCAAAAATGAGCCGGAAAGGATGAGCACGAGATCGATGAAAATTGGAGGAAACCGGAAATAGGAAGGGAAAAGTGAAATTAGTGAGTTCGAATTTTGGAAAAATCTTGAAAATCTTTGAGTTTATATATCTCTGCTTTGGTAAGAGATATCAAAAAGCTGTCAACTGATAAAATATTTATCATAATATCAGCAACATTTTATCAGTTGACAACTTTTTCATATCTTTGACAGAAAATGAGATATATGAGCTGAAGTTGACGGTCAATAAATTTCAATTTTAAAAAATTGGGAATTCATGAAAACTACAAAACAGTATTTTTTAAATGGGTTTTGTTTTATCGGTTTGAAAAACTATAAAAAAGGGTTGTGATTTTGAAAATAACTTTTTAAAATTGATTTTTGAACTAGATACCGTAATCCAACATTTTCAACAACTGGTATTGGGAATCCTGTTACCCCTGACGTTAACCCAATTTAACTCGATTTTTGTACTAGATATCAAAAAGTGGTCAACTGATAAAATAATACTGATATTATGATAAACATTTTGTTAGTTAACAACCTTTTGATAGCTTTCACAGAAACCGAGATAAATTGGCTGAAATTCAGAGGAGAGGGCAAAAGTTTTCGAAAAAAAGAAAAAAATTCCAGTTTCATATTTATTGTAAACTTTGAAACTTCTGTCAATTTTGATAGTTTCAATTTGACGGTTTCGTGAAAAACTGAACCTCTAAAAGTGAATTTTTAAAATAGTGCTAAATTTAAAAATTTAAGGATCAAAATTTTAAAAATAAACTTTGAAAATTTTGATCCGTTTTTCATACAATTTGCTGTTACATGAGTTTTATAAAATTTTAAGTTTCTGAAAAGACTTAATTAGTGTTGTGGATTTTCAATCAAATATGCGAAATCTCTTGAATGCGAAAAATCTAAATTTCAAACTCATAAAAGGATCCTCAATATTTAAAACTTTGATCTATTTTATCTCGGTTCTTGTCACAGATATCAAAAAATAGTCTACTGATAAAATATTGCTGATAGTATGATAAACATTTTATCAATTGACCACTTTTTGATATCTTTTGCAGGAACCGAGATAAATATGGTCAAAGTTGAAATCACAGTTTTTATTTTTTCAAAATTGAAAAATAGTTCAGTTTCATTATTTTTGTAAATTTTGAAACTGTCTCTAATTTTGGTGACATAGTCGGTATAATTCACGATTTTAGAGTTCAGAAATGGAGAAATTTGAAAAATTTAGTTTTCCAAAAATTGGAACTTTCACTGTTTTATGAGATTTGTAACAGTTTAAATCAATAAAGCACATTGTGTCTGCGTCTCCACCTTTTATGTTCTATTTAGGCTTTTCATCGATATACCTACCGTATACACTTCGCATAAACTGCTCTCTAACCTTAATTGTATCAAAAGGTTGTGATTCTTCCGATCCATCTGTAAATTCTAGAATTTCAATCAAGCTTCAAAAGAAAAAAATTGAAATTCAATTTTTTGGTTTAAACAAATTACTGATTCGTAGTTTTCATAAATTATTCAAGGTTTAAAAACGAAATTGGTTGAAGCTCTCATATACTATTCCTCTTATTCGATCATCAACTTGAACTTGAAGCCCATATAACTCATTTTTTGTGAAAGATGTCAAAAATATGTCAACGGATAAAATGCTTATCATCATATCAGCTACATTTTATTAGGTGACTACTTTTTGATATCTGTTACAGGTAATGAGATATATAAGCTTAAAGTTGAAAGACGCCTAGGAGATCACAGAATTTTAATTTCAAAAAGTTGGAAATTTATGAAAACTACAAAACTGGAAAAATTCCAGTTTCATCATTTTTGTGAATTTTTGGAACTACCTTCAATTTTGATAATTTTCGCTTTTGTGGCTTTTTCCCGACGAATCTAAAAATGTTAGAATTCAAAAAAAAAAAACAAAAAATTGAAAAAAAAATTCCAGCCATAAAAAAAATTACTGTTTCGTAGTTGTCATAAACTTCCAATTTTTAAAAATTGAAAATTCGTTCGCCCTCAAATTCTGGCCCATATATCTCATTTCCTGTGAAAGATGTCAAAAGTAAGTCAACTGATAAAATGCTTATTATCATATCAGCTACATTTTATCAGTGGACAACTTTTTGATATCTTTTACAGGAAATGAGATAAATCATCTCAAATTTCAAGTTTTCCTTTTTTTTCAGACAAACTCACTCCATTCACTGATCAACTCAAAAAGCTTCTCAACCCAAAAATATTTATTCATCTTTTTTTTCCTATTCAACTTTTGTAGTATTGTCTATTTTTTTACCTGTTTTACCACCCTTTTTTGTGAATTTTGTATCTTAAAATGTCAAATAAATGTGTTTTTAATATTTAAATCTTTGAATTTCAGATTTGTTGTTCTTTTCAGATCATTTCCAACCAGTTTGAGCGGTTTTTTTTGTTTTTAAGATAACTACCGTAAACACTCCAATAGAACACCACCCGGACCGTCTACTTTGAACTTATATATCTCATTTCTTTTGAAAGATATCAAGAAGTGGTCAACTGATAAAATGTTTATCACAAAACCAGTAACATGTTATCTGTTGACAACCTTTTTTATATCTTTCACAGAAAATGAGATATTTTAAGCTTAACGTTGACGACAGAATAAATAAATCACTGAATTTGTATTTTGAAAAATTGGAATATTATGAAAACTACGAAACATTGTTTTTTTTGGTTTAAAAAATTACAAAAAAAGGAAATTCTAGTCCAAAAAAGTTGTGTGTTTCTGAAAATACTTTTTTCATTAAAATTCGAACTAGGTACCGTAATCCAACATTTTAAACACCGGTAAGAGGAAGCTGGGTACCCCTGACTTTAACCCAAGTTATCTCGGTTCCAGTGAAAGATATCAAAATGTGGTTGACTGATAAAATGTTAATCATATTTTGACTAATATTTTTACAGTTGACAACTTTTTGACATCTTTCACAGGAATTGAGATAAATTGTTTTAAAGTCAAAGGAGGGAGCACAAAATTTTTTGAAAAAATATCCAGTTTCATATTTTTTGTAACTAACGTGTTTTCACATTTAGAATGTTATATTTACAAAATTAGAGGTCAGAAATGGAAACGTTTTGAAAAATACATAAAAATTTTTCAAAAAATTTACTGTTTTATGAGTTTTGTAATAATTTAGGTGAAAACAACGGTAATTTATTACGCGCGTGAGTATTTCTCTTCCCGTTTCGAGAATATTAACTTTACAGAAAATGGCTTCTCGTAAAAACAAGCCGATCGTCCAAGTTCAACGATATGCAATGCGATTCAAAAAAAAGAACGAAAATGGAACAGAGCTTTTTTACTGTGTCGAGCGGTAAAAAATTGCAGCATTACTATAAAGCAATATTTTTCCAGAGAAAGACGAGCTCGATGTGATGCAGCTTATCATTTCGACAGAATGAACAACACGTTCACTGTTAAGAAGCAACATGTGAGACACGACGAGGATTTTGTCAGAAGTGAAGTTAGTATCAATCGATAGAATGTAACAGAATAGTCGTCACAGCAAACGATTTTTCTTCAGGCATTCCTCGTGCGCCAGGAATTGAAAAAAATGTGCGAATGATTGAAAACCTCGTGAAGCGGTTAATGAGGTTCGAGCCAAGTTCTCTCCAGTTGCTTCAGTCGCTTGTGGTTAGTACACAACATCATAAAGTGCCTTATAAACAATTACATATTTTTGATAGGATCCTAAAATCAATTTTCAGCTTTCATCGATGACTTGATCAAGTATTATATGGATGACACCGTCCGATATCAGCCGAAAATGTGGAGTTGCACTGAGCGAACGATGAATAGGATACATCGAACAACAAATGTAGTCGAGTCGTGGCACAAACTATTATCGGTAAAATTGATTTTAAAATAGCATTTTCCTGAAAAAATACCATTTACAGAGTGTCCGATCCCAAAAAAACTCATCAAGACGCTAATAAATCAGCCAATCCCGCCAAATATGCCTTTGACTGGTCTCAATTTATTAAACGCAATCTCCGACGCCCGTTCTGTTTAAAAGTCATGAATTCTTTCTTTTTTTAACACATATTTTCTTTTTTCAAATTGTTTTTTTTTAATTGTTTTTTTCTGTATTCAAATAAAATGTTTTTTTTGTTGTAAAAATGATATTTTTCTGGAGAAAACTTGAAATTTTCAAAGGTAATGCAAGCGCGCTCTGTTGCTAACAGAGTTCCAATTCGGGACAGTTCGACACCGAATCAGTTCGAGTTGGAACAGTTCGATTCCGTTCTTGTTCTGTTCTGGGCGTGTTCGAAAAAGGGACAGTTCTAATTCGAACGAGTTCTATTTCGGGACAGTTCGATTTCGGGAAAGTTCGAGTTCATTGTACCCTCTTACAAACTCATAAATTATATTTTTTAATTTAAAATTTTTAATAAAACCCAACAACCAATAAACGAATGCTCAATAATTTCAAATTAGACCCATTTTGTCTCATTTCCAGTAAAAAATATCGAAAAGTGATGAACTGATAAAATGTGTATCATATTCTCGAAAATAATGACCGAGATAAATTGTCTTAAAGTCAGAGGAGATGCAAAAAGTATTTGAAAAAAGTTCCAGTTTCATATTTTTTGTAAATCGAAACTGGTGAAATTTGAAAATTTTGAACTAACAATTTTTGTGAGAAAATTTACTGTTTTATGAACTTTGTAATATTTTAGATTATTTTAAACAGTTGATTAGAAAACGGGTTCCTCTAAACTCACGAAAAAACACTTTTCACACTCGAAACTTGTATTTTTTTTCTGATAAATTAAATTCGATCCTCCAATGAATTCAACGCTCCAGTAGAAGAGCCTAAATTTTGACTCATTTATCTCAGTTCCTCTAACAATAGAATAGAATAGAGATATAAAAAATTGTGTCAGCTGATATACTGTTGAACATACGACGATGAATATTTTATCAGTTGAGATCTCTTTGATATCTTTTAGGGAATCCGAGTTAGATTTGACCGAAGTAAGGAACAATTCCAGTTTCATGACTTTTCTAAATTTTGAAACTGCTTTCAATTTTCATTATCTTCTCTTTATCGGTACTTTCTATGAATCAAAAAATGTGAAAATTGAAATTTTTTATTTGGAAAAATACTGTTTCGTAGTTGTCGTAAATTTCAACTTTAAATAATGAAATTCACTGTTCCTAACTTATTGATGAACTTTGAGCCATTTTATCTCAATTCCAGCGCAAAATATCAAAAAGTTCTCAACTGATAAATAATTTATTATATTATCAGTAACATTTTATCAGTTAACAAAATTTTGATATCTGTTACAGGAAATGAGATAAATTTGACCGAAGTAAGGAAAAATTCCAGTTTCATTACTTTTGTAAACTTTGAAACTGCCTCCAGTTTTGATTATCTACTCTTTGGTATTTTACAATGAATCTAGAAATGTTGGAATTTTAAAAAATCTGAAAAGTTAAAAAATTTTCTTTAAAAAATGCTGTTTCATATTTGTTATCAATTTTCGAGTTTAGAAATTAAAATTCAATGGTCCCTACACAACCGTCAGCTTTAAACCCATTTATCTCGGTTCCTGTGAAAGATATCAAAAAGTTGTCTACTGATAAAATGTTCATCATAATATCAGTAACATTTTATTGGTTGATTACTTTATGATATATTTTACAGAAAATGGAATAAATTGACTCACAATTGAAGTATTTCTATTTTCAGACAAACTCCATTCACTGATCAACTCAAGGAAAAACTTTTCAACCCAAAAACTATTCATCAATCTAGCCAACTTTTTTTCTATTTAATTTTTGTATTATTCTATTTTTTAACCTGTTTTACCACCCTTTTTTGCGAATTAGGTATCTCAAAATGTCTAATAAAATAGTCTTTTTTTTTTCGAACTTTTTTTTTGGAATTTTTGGAATTTCATGAATTCCATTTTTCTACTTTTGTCCCAAGAATGTTAATCCTATTCTCCCAAAAAAAACCTCAAAGTGTTCACATCAGATTATATGTATTTTCCAATTTCTCTCTCGAAAAAAGAAAACTTGTTTACATTTATTTTTTCGTCTTAAAAAAAATGTAAAGATTCAAAAAACAGTATGAATCTGATAGTTTTTAGGCGGCAGAAGAAGATAGAAGACGACGTCCTTCAGGCAACAGAATAACATTTTTCTTTTTTTTTTAGTTTTGGATTTAAATTGAAAAACCAGTTTCCTCGTACCCGCCTCCTCTCGTCTTGTGGTCATCTAACATTTTTCTTTACATCATCATCATCTTCAAAAAATTCCTTTTTTTTAAGTTTGAATCTATACTTTTTAGTAAAAGTTTTCATTTTACAGTTCCCCTCTTGGCAGAATGAGTAGGTCAAAATCGCTAGTGGTCATTGGATTAGTCGTTTTATTTATCGGTGCAGCTGAAGCGGCGAAATTTTTGGATCAGGTGAGATTTGAGAGCCTATTATCTCGGTTCCTGTGAAAGATATTGAAAATTGCTTAACTAATAAAATGTAGCTGATATAATGATAAGTATTTTATCAGTTGACTATTTATTGATATCTTTCACAGGAAATGAGATATATGAGCTCGAACTTGACGGGGTTGGGGCTCTAGTTCGAGGAGGTAAGAAGTTTTAGAGCTTCTTTATCTCATTATCCTGTGAGAGGTATCAAAAAGTTGCTAACTAAGAAAATGTTACTGATATTATGATAAATAATTTATCAGTTGATAACTTGTTGCTAGCTTTTACAGGGAATGAGATATGTGAGTTTAAAGTTGGTGTGTGGGGAGGGACATTCTATTAAAGTGTTCTCGTGATCATTTCTGTTAATAAAAAAGAATTTAAATGTGATAAACAAACATCAAAAACATTTGGTTTCTTTTAATAAAAACTAGCTGGAACAGTTAAATAATGTTTTAGTGGAAATTTGAAATGATTTTTTTTTCAAAAATGCTCTGAAATTTTTGGAGGAAGTAAACATTTTTCGAAATTGAGAAAAAAAGAAAAAAAGAAATGAGATATATGGGCTTAAAGTTGACAGCTTGGGTGATTCTATCAGATTACTCACGGTAAGCATCACTTGCACTTGGCAAAGTGCGTCAACATTAGACAATTTTTTTTTCTATAATAATGAAAACTATCTGAAAAGGTTAAAATTCAAACATATTTTATTTTTGGGGAGAATTTGAAGTTTGTAATAAATTATATTTAAGGTGGTAACTTTGAAACTTTTGGAAAAATATAAAAACTTGAAATAGACAATCAAAAATAATACCGTAAAACCTCTAATAGAACGACACCCGGATCGTCCACTTTGAGCCTATATATCTCACTTCTTTTGAAAGATATCAAAAAGTGGTTAACTAGTAAAATGTTTATCAGGATATCAGCAACATTTT